GGGAGACAGAGAGACAGAGAGGGAAGGGAGGGATGGGGGTGAGAACGAAATAAGGAAAAGCGCCGCGAGACTGCACCTGGGCCGGTGGGGCGAAAATGAGCAAATTCTGAGAGGACAGAAGGTGTGCGGCACCGTCATGATCTTCCTCCCCCTCTTCCTCCCGACCATTCAAAAAATGTAATTTCGTTCTAAGGACACGCTGCTCAACTCTACACAACGCTACACAACAACGGCGTGTTTCGGGGCGCACTGGGCTATACACACAAATAATGTGCTGCCGCGCGAACGTCTCGCTCTCCCCACAAATACGGCGACTGGCATGCGACAGTTTTCACGGTGGGATGCACAACAAACACAGCCTCATCAGTCAGGCCTCCCCCGGCCCTCTGCTCTCCCGTCGCTATGGGGGGACATATGTTTCTGTTCTGAGAAAAAGTTGCTTGTGGTTATTTTTTTTCCCTGGTCCGTCACTTTGAGTTATTGTGGGGCTGTCCTGCCGCCATTCGGTCACTGCCAATGTGTGACTGTTTGTATTCGGTGTTCCAGAGAGCTGCGTTCTCTTCCCAATCTCGAGGCGATAGAGGAGGGAGTGTTCAGCACGCTCACCAAGTTACGGTCAATGTAAGTGGTTTTTAACTTTAAACGATGGTACCCCTTTTATACATTTCTTCAAGAAAGACGTCGCATTTCTTTCCCATTTAGATACATCCTGGACGTGCCTAAGCTCAAGGTCATACCCCACGGCGTGTTCGACGGCCTTTCGCCCGCTTTCAAGGTTTTGTAAGTATAGCAGGGAGATTAGGAACCCCAATTCCATCTCATCTCAACAAACCTATTACAAATTCACCCTTATCTTTCTTTCCCTTTTTTTTATTTAGGAGGATAAGTCGGACGGGGTTGAGCGAGATTCCCCACATCTCCAGCATCGGGCCGGACCAAATCCTGGACCAAATGTAAGGGCTCGCTGAAAAAGAAAAGAATCACACAATCTGTTCTTCACTTTATTCCGTGCCTCTAGTGTTGGCTATCACCACGACGGCCACACATACGTACTTCACTCGAGCGCCTCCCACCCCCACAATGGCACTCAAAGTGTCACTGACCCCGCGCACTTTCTCACTACTTTTCTTTTCGCCGCGCAGAGACTTGGAGAGCAACGAGATACAGACCGTCGCCTCGCAAGCAGTCCGAGTCCGAGCCAACAGCTTGTGAGTACACTGCCCCGCCGGCAACTGTCCCACGGGGACCGCTCGAGCGAGCCATGGCGTGCACGCCGAGTGAGAGTGGGGGGGAATGCGGAAGGGAGGGATTTTACACTGTAGTTGTACGACCGAGCAGGTCTTCGTGCCGGGCACAGGTGTCCCTCCCTCGCGTCCTCATCCATAACAATACGGACGGGACGACGCGACATTGCCACGACGCATCGCGCGGGTGCGATGCCCTGCTACTCCTCCCTGCCCCTTGTTTTTCTCATGCTTCTGCTTCTCCTCCCGCTCCCTGTTTTCTTTCTGATACCGCCTCAGCTCCTCGAGCCTCCTTCTCCGGCTAGTCCGGCTCCTCCTCCGCATCCAGCTCCTCTACTGGCTCCTCCTGCCTTCTCCTCGGGCTCCTCAACCTGCTCCTCCCTTCCGCTCCTCCTACTCCCGCTTCTCCACCTCCACCCTGCTCCTCCACCCCGCTGCTCCACCCTGCTCCTCCGGCTCCTCCTTCAGATCCTCCTCCGGCTTCTCCTCCGGCTCCTCCTCCAGCTCCTCTTCCGGCTCCTCCTCCGGCTCCTCCTCCGGCTCCTCCTCCTGCTCCTCCTCCTGCTCCTGCTCCTGCTCCACCCGCTCCTCCTTCCACTGCTTTCTGCTTCACCCTCTCGCTCCTCCGGCTCCTCCTCCGGCTTCTCCTCCGGCTCCTCCGCCCGCTCCTCCTCCGCCCGCTCCTCCTTCCTCTCCTTCTGCTTCTTCCTCTCGCTCCTCCGCTCCCCTGGATGTAATGCAAGTGGCTCGGGGCGGGCCGCGGAGCGCCTGCAGGGTAGGCCGTCCCGCCGGGCGCGCCTGTCGCGCGGGTCTGCCCGCCCGGCCCCTGCGGCGGTCGCCGAGGCTGTCGCTGCTGCAGCGCCGTTACGCCACCTCCCATCGCCGCCACCGCAGCGCAGCCCGGCGCCGGGGCGACGACACGCCGAGTCGAGTTCGACTCGGAGTTCGGCGGTTTCGGGTTTCGCCCCCCGTGTCCGCACCGTCCGCCCTCGTCGACGCGCTTGCGTAACTACGACAACGAGGAGGGGTAGTTTGGTGATTCGGTGCATGTGCCACTTGTTACAACCGTCGGTAATGGTTGCAGACTCCTGGACTACAACGTCATCGAGGAGGTGCAGGTCGCGGCCTTCAACGGCTCCGAAATCGCAGAGCTGTAAGTATGCCACGACGAAAATTGTGAGAGTAATTGCACAAATTGGGGTCGTGTTCCCGCAGGAAGACCTTCCGGATTTGTGCTTGGGTTGAATGGGCAAAACGCGTTCCTTGCTACGTGCGTGACCACTGTGTGGTCACGTTTTGCTGGTTTCTCCGACCTCCGACCCCCCAAGATGAACAGCCGCGTGTTAACACGGAACGTTAATACAGAACGTGTTAACACGCTTCGTGATGACATCCGGGTAGCATAGAGGCAGACAGACGATGGGGGTGCACGAGGCGAAAAGGAACACAAGAAGGGGCGGCGGAAACCGTTGGGCGAGATGTGAGGAGACAGCAGCAGCAATAACAAGCGATGACGATTGTGTTTCAGGAGCCTCAAGGGGAATCGGAAGCTCACGCGGCTCTCTCTCGGGGCGTTCCGGGGGCTCTCCTCACTCCGGAAACTGTAAGTGGAGCTGACCGAACTGGCCAACAACACACTGTAATGTAAGGAGACGAGCGGGAACGAGGACGAGGAGGGGTTGCGGTTGCACTCGCCGACCGACCCGGATGGATCCCTTATTTCCCGGAGATGCGTCCGCGATATCGCAACAATAATGGCAACTATAAATCTGACGAGCAAATGACTATTCCCCTTTTCCTTTGGTTTATTTGTACTGAGAAAAATGTAGCCTTTGAACGTAGATGATACCAATGTGACCTAAGTTCGGATTTTTTTCTCTGAAGTTTCTGAGAGTTTTGAAGCCACAACTCTTGTGTGAGCATGTTATATTGTAATTCGTAGGGACCTGTCCCAAACTTCCATCTCGGAGCTGCCGACGGAGGGCCTGCGCCACCTGGAGGAGCTGCGCGTGGAGAACACCGACACGCTCACCACCATACCGTCCGTGTACAACTTTGTGGTGAGTGTGAGACGCCGAGACTTACGACCATACGGCCGCCATAACGTGAGACTGGCGAAAGGGGTGAGCGGGACTAACAGGACCGACGACGGGGCTCTTGCGTAGGACTTGAAGACGGCCCGCCTGACGTACGCCTTCCACTGCTGCGCCTTCGCCCACCCGCAGATCCACGACATCAACAAGCACGAGGAGCATCTGGTGAGTCCAATTCGATCCAAGACAAAAATCACAACAATATTTTTAAAAAATGCGCAAATGCAAGTAAAATAAGCGAGTTCTTTGTTTGGCAGCGCATGGTGGACAACATCATGACGGCGTGCCGGGACCTGGAGGCGGGCCGCGTGAGCCCCGAGGTGATGGCCGAACTGCTCGAGTCCGTCTGGGGGTCGAGGCCGCGCACCCGCCTCGTGCGAGCCGCCCCGGGGGGCGGCTCGGGGGGCGGCTCGGGCGACGGCTCGGGCGCCGGCGAGGAGTACGCCGAGGACGACGCGGCCCTCGGCTGGGGCGACGACGTCTACGAAGACAGAGGCCGGCTGGACGAGTACGTGTGCGACCATCATGTTTGAGATCCCGTGGCAAAGGCGGATTGCTTACTTTCTCCCTCTGACGGCAGCTGGGGCGTCGACGCGGGCCTCGGCACCTCGCCGCCGCTGCACGTGTTCCTGGCCCCGGAGCACGAGCACGGCGGCGCCTTCGGCGACCTGGTGGACGTGGAGCCCGGGTACGCCTCGGACCAGGCCGACACCCTGGAGCGGCGGGAGCACGCCGACGACGCCGGCGGCCACAACCACGGCGTGTTCCACGACGTGGCCACCCTGCCGCCCAGGATCCTGCAGGCCATGTGCGGCAACGTGTCCAAGCAGTGAGTGATGTTCTAGCCAGGGGTAGAAGTCACCATTCCAGGCCACCTGCTTCGAAGACAGATTGCTCTGTCTCGTCGTCGTGCAAAAAAGTTGCGCTGCCATGTGGTGTGGCACCAGGTCCTGTTGAGGGCGGAGTAAGCGATGGTTGACAGGACAGGCCGATTGAAAGCGACCACCTGGGGAGAGCTCATAGAGCTCGTAGGTCCTCCCGTATCACACCCGCCTTACCAACCACCTCCCCTCCCCATCATAAAGGAGATGGGGGCGGGGGCTTTCTGGAAACAGAAGCGGATCCATGGGATGAGAAGGATAAGAAGTGGGGTGGTGGGGAAGGGAGGTGTCACCGGTGGCTGTTACTGCTGAATGGCAGACAGGAGAGGCGGCCCCGTTTATTCATTCTGCTATTTTACGCGAGCCTCCGCCGTCGCGTGTGGGACAGGTGACGTGCCGGCTCTCCGGGGTTCGCTCGCGCGGACGGTTTTCAGCCCAACGTCAGAGTGCACGCGAAAAAAAAAAAAGATTCCGTCGTAAAAAAGTTCCATGTTTTGTTTTATCGGACAATGAGATAGGGAGTGCTTGGCCGGTTATTTGATACGCGATATCGGTATTACAAATCTTTTTCCCCGGGTTTTGTTTTCCTCGTTAGTGAAGTACGTTTCAGCTGAGGCGGACACGCGCTAACGCCACATCCCGACGGCGGGCAGACAATTATTGTCTAAGCGTTCACACTACTGTCGCCACCTGCACAGCACGCCGCCGGCTACAGGGAAGATCCTTTGATCATTTAGTGATGTGCTGGCGAGGCCGGGGTGTGGTGGCGGCGGTGGTGTGTGGTGGTGGGCGGCAGCCGGCAGCCGGCATCTCTTGAAGGTCAATGGGTTAGATCCCCTAGGGGGGGCACACGGGAGGCGGCGGGCGGCAAGATACGCACTCACCCCAGCCCGCGGGCGCCGCACCCGACCGCACCCCTAGGCCCAGGGGGAGGGGCACACCGACGCTAACGACGGCCTCCCTCTGACCACAGCGTGCCGTCGGTGGAGTGCAGCCCCGCCCCCAACGCCCTCAACCCCTGCGAGGACATCATGGGCTACCCGTGGCTGCGCGGCCTCGTGTGGCTCGTCGTGCTCTGCACCGTGGCCGGCAACGTGGCCGTGCTGGCCGTGCTGCTGGCGCACGCGGCCGCCCTCACCGTCGCGCGCTTCCTCATGTGCCACCTCGCCTTCGCCGACCTGTGCATGGGCCTGTACCTGCTGCTGCTCGCCGCCATGGACCTGCGCTCGCACGGCGAGTACTTCAACTACGCCTGCGCCTGGCAAGTCGGTAAGGAGCTCCGGTCGCACCCCCTCGAGGACCTACACCCAAGGGGTACTTCTCTGCCAAAAAAAAAATGTAGAAAAAAATCAGCGCACACCCAATTTTTTTTCGAAAAAGTTGAAAAAAATCAACTAAAATCAAGAAAACAGAAAAATCCCCGTGAGCATGAATTTACAGTGAAGTACCCCTTGCCTACACCTGACTTTGGAGGCTGGCATGCAAATAATCTGCTCTTCACTTTCTCGCAGAGAGGGGCTGCATGGTGGCGGGCTTCCTGACCATCTTCTCGTCCCAGCTGTCCATCTACACGCTGTGCGTCATCACGCTGGAGCGCTGGGTCGCCATCACGTACGCCATCGACCTCAACAAGCGGCTGCGCCTGGGCGCCGCCGTGTACGTCATGGCCGGCGGCTGGGTGTACGCCATCACCATGGCGGCGCTGCCCCTGGTGGGGGTCTCGTCCTACTCCAGCACCAGGTAGGCGACCGGGCGGGGGTGGCCCCCGCGACCGGCCCATGGTGCACATTCTGGGAGGGGGGCCATTAGCGATAAGGAGGAAGGGCCTATCTGAGGGCCCAACTCAGGGCCCGCGCCACTCAAGGGCGTAACGAGCAGCTGGAATATCCAGGCGAGGCCCTCCACCCTCCAGGAGGCCTCGAGGGGACCGCAGTGCCGTCGTTCACGGGCTGCGATTATTCCAGGGCAGATGGCACAAAGAAGCCCAGGGATGCCCCCCCCCCCCCCTTCCGGCTTGGTTGCCCCTCTGACAAAGAATCTCTCTCCTTGCCCCGCACACAGCATCTGCCTGCCGATGGACTCGAGGGACGCCCCCGGGATGACGTATCTGGTGGTGCTGCTGTTCGTGGCGGCGCTGGCCTTCGCCGTGGTGCTCATCTGCTACATCCACCTGTACTTGTCGCTGGGCCACAACACGCTGCACGGCCGCCCCCCAGCCCGGCCGGGGCAGCCGCCGCGCGCCCGCCGCGGCCTCGGCCTCGCCGCCATGCGGCGGCCGGCGGCCGGCACGGACGAGGGCTCGTGCCGCCGGCGCAAGGAGCTCAGCTTCGCCAACAAGATGGCCATCCTGGTGCTCACGGACTTCACGTGCTGGGCGCCCATCGCCTTCTTCTCCATGACGGCGCTCGCCGGCGCGCCCCTCATCTCCGTCACCAACTCCAAGATCCTGCTCGTCTTCTTCTACCCGCTCAACGCGTGCGCCAACCCCTTCCTGTACGCCATCACCACCTCGCAGTACCGGCGGGACCTCTGCATGTTGCTGGCCAGGTACACATAGACCGTATAGTGTAGTGTTGTCCGGTGGGCCTTGCTCGCCGTGTGACCTCCTGATCTACCCCACTAACTGACCCTGGTTTGGCGCGGGTTTCAGGTTGGGGATCTGCACGCAGCTCGCGCATCGCTACAAGCTGGCATACCACTCCTCGCCCACGTCGCACAACTCCAACAACCAGCCCATGGCGCTGTGCCATCGCGGGGGCGGCGGGGGCGGTGGG